CACAGCAGCAAATGATCTGTCGCCTTTGGTCTTTAGCCTGGTGCGTTGCCCAACCATAGGCTTTGATCACTGGACCTCAGGGATCTGCTGGGGGTGTAGGGACTAAGAAGATCACCAATATAAGATGGTGCTTGTCCATGTAAGGCCCTATAGACCAGAACCAGGATCTTGAAATGAACCCTGAAGTTGACTGGCAGCCAATGAAGCTGGAGGAGAAGCGGGGTGATGTGGGTGTGTTTGGAGGACTTGGTCAGAAGCCGAGCACAGGCATTCTGAACCACCTGTAGACGGTTCAGGGAGGTTCTGCTCAGACACGTGAAAAGAGAGTTACAGTAGTTACAGTAGGGACCGGGATCGGGACCGATCTGTCTGTTTATGCATGTTGGGTCAGTGTTGGGACTTACTTGTTATAAGTGCCAAAGCCTCATTGCTGACTTTAACAAGTCTCATCTACAAATATGATCCCCCATGAAGTTAATACTTTACACCAGAAGATAGTGGAGATGTGTAACCTTCAGGCTGAGCAAAGTTTGGGAGTTTTTAGAGCTTGAAAAATGCCTCCAGCCGAGAGGCTCCCAGTCGGGGAGAGGAGGAGATGCGTGCAGCATGAAGAGCGCAAATATTAGATAAAATGTATAATTGCCGGCAGGTCTGGTCTTTGTTGACTGATCACTTTGTCTGGTAATGACTGACTCTGATTATGAAGCAGAATATTGACTCTGATAAAGAAATTCACTCATCCAGCCGGTAAGATTGACGCTGCTGCTGCACGAGGTGTGTGGAGTTTACAAGCGCCAAACGTTGGGTTTGATGTTGGTTTAACCTTCTCTGGGACGTGATGGATGTAGAAATGATGGTAAAACACCACAAACGTGACCGACGTAGCGACAATGTAAAAAATAAAAAAGCCGTAATAAAAGCAGAGGCCGATGCGTTATGTATGGAAGTCAAGTGTGCCACATAATCATAAAAAAAAAGTTAAATATAAAATTTCAGAAAATATTTATTTATATATAAATTAACAATTTCCAAATATAATGAACATTTATAAATAACTTAAAAATACGAAGGAACATCTGTTGGTCAGGTTGAAAAGTTTGGGAACTACTGCTCTAAGTGATAAGTGAATTTTGTTTTTTTAATATATTTTATGTGCAGTTATGTTTTCTGTAAAGACTGGTATGCTGAAAATCATTTAATGTTTTGCACAAAGCATGAGGTTTTGGTTAGTAATGGATTGGGAGAATAACAAATGACTGAATTAAATAGTGGGGTGCCTCTGTCAGTGCGCTCCAGGGCAGCTGTGGCTACATCGTAGCTCACCCCCATCAGTGTGTGAATGTGTGTGAATGGATGAATGATACACTGTAGTGTAAAGCGCTTTGGAGTCCTTACTCTGAGAGGCGCTATACAAGTGCGGATCATTTATCTTTTCTAGTGTTGATCAGGCAGAGCTTTGTTGCCAGCGTTCCACTGCATAATGGCTTCAAACACGTATATAATAGTTGGTTTTTACGTAAACCATTGGATGAAATTACACAAACTGACTGAGCTTTAGTTAAGGTGCTTGCAATAGTTTGTGTACGTGTGTGTGTGTGTGTGTGTGTGTGTGTGTGTGTGTGTGTGTGTGTGTGTGTGTGTGTGTACGCATGTGTTTGGGGGAGGGTACATTGGAACTTTGTCCCCCCCAGTTTGAAAATCCTATCTGTGCCCCTGATGCTGACGATACTCAGTTATATTTATCCATTAACCCTGATTAACCTAATCAGTTAGGTAGATTACAGGCTTGTCTTGAGGACATAACAAATTGGATGACTCTAAACTTTTTGCTTTTAAATCAAGACAAGACTGAAGTTCTCATCTTTGGACCAGAAATCCAGAAAAGGAACTTGCTTAGTCAATCATCTGACCTGAATGGTATTACATTAATCTCCAAGAACAAAGTAGGGAACCTTGGTGTTATCTTCGACCAGGACATGTCATTCAAATCCCAAGTTAAACAGGTTTGTAGGATTTCCTTTTTCCACCTTCGGAATATTGCCAAGATTAGAAGCATCCTTTCCAGCAGTGATGTTGAAAACTATGCATTTATTACATCAAGACTGGATTACTGTAATTCATTACTCTCAGGAAATCCACAGAATGTAGTTAAAAGTCTTCAGCTTGTCCAAAATGCTGTAGCTAGAGTTCTGATGAGAATTAAAAAGAGAGATCATATATCTCCTGTCTTAGCGTCCCTACTTTGGCTACCTGTTAAATTCAGAATAGATTTTAAGATCCTTCTCACATATAAAGCTCTTAATAATCAAGCTCCATCATACATCAGTGATCTGATTGTTCCACACATTCCTAACCGAGCACTTCGCTCTCAGACTGCAGGTTTACTGGTGGTTCCCAGAATATCTAAAATTAGGATGGGAGGCAGATCTTTTAGTTAGCAGGCTCCTCCTGTGGAACCAGCTCCCAGCTTTAGTCCGTGAGGCAGACACCTTGTCTACTTTTAAGACTAGGCTTAAAACCTTTTTATTTGATAGTGCCTATGGTTAAAATCTGATGTTAGCCTAGATCTGGACAAGTGGGGGAGTAGAGGGAGGTGGAGTGTACAGTCGGTAAAGACGGCTCTCCCTTGCCCTGCCTCCAACTAAAAGGCTAGGTTATCCAGAGTTATCTCTGTAGTTATGCTGCTATAGGCTTAGACTGCTGGAGGACATACTGACCACTTTTCACACTCTACTACTTTCTTCTACAATCTGCTCTTTAATTGCATTATTTCCTGCTATTTCAGTTGTTACCTTTATTTTTTCTCAAAGTATTTTTCTCCCCAGAAGAAGCTACAGTGGTGTTCTGCTGAGCTGTGGTGGCCTCATGGAGGGGGCCATCGTCTAGCACACTGCTGCTAACCACTAAAACATTCTCCCTCTCCTGATAACTGTTTGCTTTCCTTGACATTGGATGTGCTACTGCTAATTTACCCATTGGATTAGTTTAACTAGGATAAATACAATAAAGTTTATCTCTTGCCAAATAGAATATTTACTAAGAAATCATAATGTAACCATAGACGAGAGAGAGAGAGAGAGAGAGAGAGAGAGAGAGAGAGAGAGAGAGAGAGAGAGAGAGAGAGAGAGAGAGAGAGAGAGAGAGAGAGAGAGAGAGAGAGAGAGAGAGAGAGAGAGAGAGAGAGAGAGAGAGAGAGAGAGAGAGAGAGAGAGAGAGAGAGAGAGAGAGAGAGAGAGAGAGAGAGAGAGAGAGAGAGAGAGAGAGAGAGAGAGAGATCTGTCTTCTCGATCCCCATTGAGTCGTGGTGGGTGGCTGCTTATACTGAGCCAGGATCCTCTGGAGGTTTCTTCCTGTTAAGAGAGTTTTTCCTCTCCACTTTCGCTAAATGCATGCTTAGTATGATTGCTGTAAAGTCACTGACACTAGTGAGTGATTTGATGCAATTTGCTGGGTTCCTTATATAGGAAACATTTTTTCTGATTGGCTTAATGAACTGACCTGGATTTGGATGTTTATTATGTGAAGTGTCTTGAGATGACTCTTGTCGTGATTTGGCGCTATATAAATAAAATTGAATTGAATCTGGTCTTTGGAACTTCTAGAAGGTTCACGTGGGTGGACCAGAGGGCTCGGGTTGGAGCATAAGGCTTTAACAGTTCAGTAATATAGGGAGGAGCTTGAACATGTAGAGCCGAGTTATTGTCAGGATTCTAAAATGAACTCTAAAGTTAACGGATTACCAGCCAACACCTTCAGAAACACCCATAAAGGCTTAAGTTTGTTATATTGGGCTTATAGTTATGGAAACATTCTGAAATAGTTGAATATTGTTGCATATCCTTCTATTTGCAGGATTTCTTTTCTGTGTCTCTATCTCGTCAGGGCAGAAGTCTGTCCATCCTGGTTCCCGTTCTGCTGAAGTGCTGCAGGAACCGTGTTGAAGAAAATCTTCAGATTTTTTCGTGACAACTTTAATTGCTTGAACTGGACTTTACATAGTTTGGTTTTAAAGAGGTTCTGCTTGTTTTGGACTAAGTGTAATGCATCAAATCAGTTAAAAATAATTAATAACTCATTTAAATTAGTCCCACATTTTTATTAACTAATATTACACTGATGTTATCAATCAGTATTTACGCTCCTCTAGTCCTCTCTCACCCCTGCTTCAAATCAACAAGATCTTTTAGAGAAGCTCAACAGGTTTGGTTTGAAGCGTCAGAAACTGGTTTTAAATGTTCTTATGCAAGAGAGTGACCAAACGCAAAACACAAAAGAACACTAAAAAAAGAACAGGGTAACATGGCAGGAAGGAAACGGGAATAACCTGACTCGAACCAGCTGGAGGCAAAGTGAGAGAGCCACACAAAACAAGTCAGTACAGAAACCGCAGACCAGAAAATTCACCGAGACCTTAAATACCTGCAGGAATTCAATCTTATAAATACGCACGACAGAATTACGCAATGATGACAACTTCATCTATTGATCAACAATCTGTTCACTTATGAGTAAAATGGTTTAATATGACTTTCCTCAACCATCAAGGGTTTGTTTTATAGGAACTTGAATGTATTCTCACATAAACATTGTAAAGAGGGAGATTTGAACTAGACACGTAAAAGATGCACGTGTGGAAGTGTGATGGCCACTATTTTAAAACATCTCAGCAGAGGCGATCAACACAAAAACAGCTGATTGGCGTCCTCTAGTGTCTGCTGGACATTCTCACACTGTTGGTTTCCTTCAGTAGAAAAAAGATATGAATGAATTAAACAGTTTATTTGGAATCAGTTACGATCAGATGTGATTAGATCTCCAAGTTTAGCATTTTCAGATCTTTTTTTGTTTTCCTTCTGGTGAGTTTTTTTTTTACTTAACTTCTCCAGTCAGAACAAAACATCTAAAAATTCCTACGTTAATCCTTTTTTATAGGATTATGTGCGTAGAATGACTGAGACAAGAACATCAGCTCTAATGAAAGGAAGACCAGACAGACTTGATAATTCTTGATCATTTCCAGGCTATCCTACTCTTTATTTAATGCAAATTACAGTACCAGGGAACTATTCCTCGGGGCACGCAGAGGGGAGTATTTACAGAGGCGCACATTTAGCATACCTTCACAGAACAAAAACAAATGAAAACTAAATAAAAAGTTCAGTCACAAACAAAGGCATTCAAGTAGTACTGTTATACAGGATGTTTTTGTAATAGTTTTTTTTTAATATTTTTTTTCTTCTCTTTAATCCCAGGTAGGCCCAGTTAGCACATCTGTAAGCTAGTATATGATACTAGTATTTATACTTGCTTTGTTTTTTTTTTTTTGGGTAACTGTTCTAGTATTTTGATGAACTGGGTGTTAAAAGTTAGGTTAAAGTGGTCAAACCTTGTGGAGGGTAGCAATACGCTCATGAATGCTAAATTACAGCAAGCAGGAGATGGGGGGGTGGGGGCTATTTGACTCAACCCCTTCGGTGCTACTGAACCCCCTCCCACCAACAGAATTAGGAGGGGGGGGGGGGGGCGCAAGCAAGAGAACAGAGAAAAAGGAGTTATTGCCTCTGAGGATGGCTCGGCACAACTACATCAACGTTTGGCTTTGGTAACAGAACCAACACTGTCAGTGACACAAAGTCTCTACTGTATTATATGTACAGTATACCAGCCCCCCCCCCCCCCCCCCCCCTCCTGCCACCACCCACCTCAGTCCATGTGGGTGTGGGGGATTAAACATCTACCAAAATCAACAGGTGTCTAGTGAATCTGCAGTAAGGAGAGCCATCCTTACCTCTAAAGCCTATAATACAACTGCTGTGTGATTGGGGTGGGGGGTGAGTAGCACGACATTCAACAGCACCAAAGGGAGAGTCACAACATTGGGTGAGGGTGGAGACAAGGCGAAGGTGTATGAAAGCAAAGGCACTCCAAACTATAGTTACACTATACATGACTAGTCCTTGTTACAATAATACAGCGGTCTTCTAATGAACTGTACAGGTAAAGATTGAACATATGGCTGGATAAAGCTGATCATCTTCTAACACACCCATAAACATCAGTTTTGCCCTGATTTTAATGTTTTCCTGCTTTCTTTCTTCCCCGTCTTTGTTTTTGCTCATAAACAGTACATGGGTCTGCGTATATATACATACGGTGAACACAACATGGAAAACGACTCAACGCAACATAAAAAAATTAACATACAAGACGTACGAGTTTTGGTGAGGAGCATTTAGGCTGTATGTACAAATTCAGTTTCTTTGTTTCTTTTTTAAATGTAGAGAAGATAATTCGTCAGCCTGTAGTGAGCGGCTCTATGTGCTGTAGGTGGAAAGGAGGGGAAAACAAACACGTGGCTAACATTTCCGTCGACATGAGACAGCCTGCGGTGCACCGAGGACCGCCGCCGGGGCTTCGAAAACAGCCCAGACAAGAAAAAAGCGATCATCTGGAAGTCTCCAGGAGGAGGTGGACTGGGGGACACGTTGCATCGTCACAGACGCGATATTAGACGGAGTCGAAGGCAAAAGGAGCAGAGCAGCACCCTACATCCATCTACACAGGAGGAGAGGGAGGTGGCTGCCGGAGGCCAGCAACTCCAGATACAAAATAAAAACTTAGTGAAGTCTGTCGTCTTTGGGCGGCAGCAAATATTGCCACGGCTCCACCAGATATGAGCTCACCGTAAATGATTTCTGAACCACTGTAGATAATATACATAGAATCTATATATACTTTTTATACATAAAGAAAAGTATTATATAAAGTGTGTATGCGTATTTGTACTGTATGTATAAATCATACAAGCACACAGGACCAGATACACATCACGCCCATCACACACCCTCCAAAACAAATAACATCTGCCCAGGAGTACAAAATAAAAATAAAATAAAAACAGAATAAAAGAGCTTAATGCCTAAAAACAACCCCGGGCAAAAAGAAAACAAATGTCCAAATAATTCTACCCCTCCTCCTCCCTCCTCGAGGCGGGACTGCTCCCTTCCACATAGGATCATCATGCATCCGTGTGTGTGTCTTGAGTGTGTGTTTACGCGTGCGGGAGCCTCATGCCTTGTTTGCAGAAGTAGTGGTGAGAGGACATGACAGTGCCCCCTCCCCTTATTGTACTCAGGTCATGCACTACAGAAGGAACCGAGGGAGACGGGGGAGAAGTGGGGGGATGCAGGGAAACGGTACAATATAAGGAGAGGACAGGTTGACGGGGACAGCGAAGGACTTTTCTACAGATTGTCCTCTTGTGGATGTCTAGCGTGGTGTATACGTGTGAAGTTTAGTACAGTCAGCAACACAGGCGGCCCACGCTTCGCTTTCAGGTGCCTTTAACGGAGGAGGGGAGGAGTTCGAACACCTGCTTATGGGTCAGGGGAGGGCTCAGGGATGCCTGTGTTTTTGGGGGTGGGAGGGGGATTGTTTAGCTGTTGAACCCAGGCTGCCTCAGCATAGCTGCGCCGCTGCCAGGGAGGAGAGCGAGGCAGGAGCAGAGCCGATCGGAGCTCACCCCCTGGTCAGGGCAATGAAGAGGCTGTGGGCTGGGGCTGTGGGCTGAGGCGGGGCCGGGAGTTCTGTGGGCTCAGGAGATGGAGTTGGAGGCGGAGGCGGTGGTGGTGCTGGGACCTCGCTCTGTGCTGCTGCCGTCTGTGAGCAGAAAGCAAAGTCAGTGATGCTGCTTTTAATGGAAACCAGAAAACTCAAAACCATCTGCTGATAATGAAGAGATTCTGAGTTTCACATTTATTATTTAAATCAAATTTCTTGTAAAAAATGTATTCAAACATGCAATGAACTGTTTAAAGAGTTTCAATAACGTACCATTTAAATCTGTTTAGAATAGAATAGTCATTGTTGAGGGTTGATGCCATAAATGTTTCCTTCAAGGTGGTGATTACAGAAGTTCTGCCCTCTTGAATTATAAAAAAAATAGTGTTTTGAAGAAGAAAGCTCTGCAGGTACCTGTGGTGGCAGACGCGTTGGTTGGAGTGGAGGCGGCGGCCTGGCTGCGGGCGTGGGCTGGGATGAGTATGGAGGCCAAAGAGGCATTACTGGATAGCTCTGAAAGATAATGAACATAAGTTATCAGGTCATGTTGTTACAAAGCCACCCTGGAGATAAACTCCCAGATGGCAACAAGACATTCTGAAAGCAAAATGTAAAGAAGCACAAACTAAAGAAAATACAGAGGATTTCAGCTGTTACTGTTCGTGTTTGTGGCGCGTACCCTGGGTGGTGAAGTTAAACAGCGAGGGTTTCTCTCTGCCGTTGGGAAGCTTGACATTGGGGTCACGCAGCTCGTCAAAGAAGGAGTGAGCACAAGCCTCTAGAGGGGTGAGGCGCGCTGTGGGCGTGTACTCTAGCAGGCGAGAGCACAAGGCGATGGCCTCTGGAGGTGTGCGAGGCCGGAAGACCTGAACGACAAATTACAGACACAAATCAACAAGATGACTGTTGCTCGACGAAAGGTATTTGAGGACAGCTAACACATTTGTCAACATGTAAAAGCCTAGAAACAAAGTTCATTTATTTTTTTCCAACACATTTGCAATAGTCTCTAGTAAAAACGAATGCCATGTTAGTTAATCTGTGTGATAAAAGCTCTGACACTCCTGTTTCAGGAGCTAGACGTTAGCCAGAGCAGATGACGGCAGGATTTGGTGTCTCTCTTACTGATACCTGCACATCTCACCTGACTGGCTAACAGCAACGCGACTCTACCACCTCCTTCATTTCCTCTGCAATGGTGATGTTTTATCTCCACAAATAACACAAGTCAGGAGGAGTTCTGTCAAGTTGTGAAGTTGCTAATGCTAATGGTTAGCTTCTACTAGCCAAAATATGCTCTACTCTCTCCTGGACGCTAAAACAACAACAGCCTTCTCCGTCAGGAGCCAAGATGGGTGAGTCTATAATTGCTAATTTTCAGTGTGACGTGGATCTGATTGGCTTTTCTAACCTAAGCATTTCTCCATCTATTTTCTATTCCCGACTAATGCAGGAAATAGGGGTAGAAGACTATTCTAACGTTTAACCTGCATGATAAACTCAGTGTGACCGATCTAACTCAAAAATAACAAGTAAAAAATGGTTTGTGAGTACATTTCTGTGGGGAAAAGGCTTTGGCGCTCCTGTTTCAGGAGCTAGAAGTGAGCCACGTTGAACTTGAGCTTCAGACGGCAGGACTTGGGAGTCTCATTTGCTGATTTTCTGACATCTTGCTTCTAATTGGCTAACAGCAACAAGACTACCACCTCCTCCATTTGCTCTGCAACATTGATGATTTATCTCCATAAATAAAACACGCCTGAAGGAGTTCTAATGTGGTGGAGCTGCTAATGCTAACTGTTAGCTTCTACAAGCAGAGAGGCACTCTGCTGTTTCCTGGACGCTAAATCAGCAACAGCCTTTCCAGTCAGGAGCCAAGATGGGCGAGTCCATGAATGCCAATTTGACATTATGATGTGCTAAGGTCACTGGCTTTTCTAATCCGAGTGTTGTCCCGTCTATTTTCGATCAGAAGTTGATGCAGGAAATAGAGGTGAACTTGGCTTTTAAGCAGATTAGCAGGATAGTACTGCCTAGACACGGATCACAGATTTCTGTGAATTTTTTTTTTCCCACTGAGTCTAAAAAGTCAAAGCGAAGCTTTTTAAACAACATTGATTGATTCAATCTGGATGAAGATGATGATGATGATGAAGCAAAGACAGCAACAGTGAAATGAATCATGAGAGGAACTATAAAGTAAAAGTGCTCTTGTACCTGTTGACTCACCTTAGTCCAAGGATGTGCCTTAATCTGGGGGAATTTGAACTCAGTGTAGTTGGGGTTCATCTCGCGTATTTGCTCTCGGGTCGGGGTTCCGAGAACCTGAGAAAACAGGAACAACCAACAATCTCGACAAGCTGTTTGCAAAACTACAATAACTCACAAAAGGGAAAAGAGGTCAGGTTACCTTAATTATTTCAACCAATTGATCCACACCACTGTCGCCAGGGAAGATTGGTTGTCCTAGCAACAGCTCTGCCAGCACGCAGCCAGCTGACCACACATCTGCAGGAGCAGGCAGGTCAAAAACAAGTCAGACACCAGAAACAGAAGAACAGACACACATTCCCACTGGAGGGGGGAGCCTACCTATGCTGGAGGTGTAGTCAGTGGCCCCAAAGATGAGTTCAGGGGCCCGATAGTAGCGGGAGCAGATGTAGGACACGTTAGGTTCTCCACGGACCAGCTGCTTCGCACTGCACACAGAGATCAAAACATTTATTATATGATGGCAAAAATGCTGATCAGGATTTTTGTGACTGAAATAGAGATCCGAATTATTTAACGCAATCTTTAATTAGAGTTGATAGAAATTTATTGAACATTAACTGGCTTTTAAACGTAGTTGTTTTTAAGATTCCAGACCTTTTTTCTATTTTTTATAATAGAGCCAAATTTGCCCCACAGGAGTCAAATAAACATGCTGTAGGGGAGCGTGTACAGTAGCGCGATGCAACAGATAGATGAACTTTTATTATGCATCAGTGTGAGAAATCAGAGGTGTGGCATGAGAGCGCGTGAAGACAGTCAAATGCATTTGTCTTATGCTTAATGCGTGAGTTAGCAGCCCTGACTGTATTGATCCACCATGGGTATAGTTTGCTGTATCTTGAATTTATTTAGCTTATAAAAGAACTGGCTTTGTGAATGTGTAAGATCAATAGAGAATGATTTCCAGGGTTCCCCCCAGCGATTTAGCCAGGCCAAGCGTCCATCCCCACCCCCGCAGTCACGGACGACGCACTGTAGCGAAACGAGTCCATGAATATTAAGTGACAGTGTGACATAGATCTGCCAGGCTTTTCAAATCCTAGAGTTTCACCTTCTATTTTCTACCAGAAGCTAAAGCAGGAGACCTTTTTCATGTTCAGCCTGTATGAAAAACTCAAGAGTGAACGATTAAAATCAAAAATATTAATTAAAAAATTGTCCGGTTTGCACACCTGTAACTGCAGTAGAGACATCAGAAATAAACAAAATGCTTTAATCATCTCAACAAACAGCAGGGTCTCTTTTCTACTGTGTTCATAAATCAGCGTCTCACCTGCCAAAGTCGCAGAGCTTCAGTACAGCCGTCTCTGGATCAAGCAGCAGATTCTGGGGTTTGATGTCCCGATGGCAGATTCCAAATGAGTGGATGTAAGCCAGACTCCTGAACAGCTGGTACATGTACAACTACACAGGCGAGAACACACCAAAGTGGGTTAGAAAATGTTCTAAACAACAGGAATATTCTCACACTCAGATTAAATCGGATTATATTAACAGTAAATAATGGTTAGAAAAACAAATAGTCATAAAAAGAACAAAAATTTAGAGGTTCGGTCACATTTTATACTTACAAACTCTAACTTAAATACCAACAGTTACTGTAATAGTTTTCTTTAATAGTTTGGGCATGGAACACACACACACACACACTTAAATACCTTGACATAAATCATGGGCAGTGTCTGTTTGGCTCGGCTGTAGTGTCTGGCCATTCTGTAGACCGTCTCAGGGACATAGTCCAGAACCAGATTTAGATACACTTCATCTTTCTGTTAAGGATAAGAAAGAAACAAGATAACAGGTTAAAAATGAGTGACAGGAAACAAATCATATCTATAACTGGCAAAACATTAAGATCCAAACAAACAAATGAAAGTCATGCTCGTTTAAGCTGCCTGTTAAAGGTTAAATATGGAACACAAACACCAAAGCGACACCTAGTATGTGGAGGTTGTAGTTGCAGCAATAGTACAATGTTTCCAGCCGTCGGGATTCAAGGTTCGTGAAATTTTTTATTTGGGCCCATCTGTTGTAGGCTTCACCTAAACTCACTCTGGTTTTAGATCTTTTATGGTCGCTCAACTTCTGAGAAGGTTAACGACATCTTCTGGGCCCAGAAGCAGCTGCTTGACTTACTGAGTCCACCATTTTCCACAGAGCCAGCCTCACTGTGCGGAGCGGGCTGTTGGCAACCCACAATGGTGCCCTCTATTGGCTGGTAGATGTAAACATAAACCCAGTATTGTGCTGTTAACATAAATATTTGATATATTATTTAAAATAAAATATAGCTTTTAAAGGAAATACTGTTGTATTGTACTGTACTGCACACCTTTAAATGCCCCACAGAGGTATTAATTTAAAAAAATGAACTGTTCCATTTTCAACCTTTACAGTCTCATTGTCAGCTGGTGGTGTCTCTGTGAGCTGTGACGCCTGTTGTTCTGATAAAGGAACTGTTTTCAACATGATGTAACTGATTTTCACATCCTAAATAGGAATCCATAGCATCTCCCCCCGAGAGCCGGAAGCACACAGCTGTGCGTCACAACAGACAGACAATGATATCATTTCCTTGTTTCGTGGCTGACTGAGGCCAGTGACGAGGGGTGGGGTTCTACTCTGGAGCCCACTGACCCGAGTAGAGGCGGAGGGTTCTCCACCCAATTATTCTAGGACTTCCTTTTTGCTCTGAGTCCAACCAGAGCGAGCCAGGTCTTTAATAAACAGCTAGAGCTAATAAATCTAAATTACAAATCAAATGAGACAGCATGAAATACAGCAGTTTGGAAATTTTAGAAGGTGCATTGAATTCACACTCCTTCCTCCGACCCACACTCCGCCTGGTTCCCTGCAGATCAGCAGTGCTCAGTGAGCTAAGACTATGAGAAACCAAGAGCCAGACCGCTCTAGAACAATTCTGTCAGCTCAGCGTGCAGATCGCTGATACTGATCACCATCTCCACTTAAACAACTGAGAAAACAGACAAGGTGAGTGATGCTGCACAATGCTTCTGCAGGGAAAACCTTTGTCCTCGCCATTCGCTAGACGTGTGAGAGCAAACCTGCTGAGGAATGATTTCCTGATGCTGAATAGAAATACCTCAACACCACAAATTATAACATATGGATTTGTTCAGGAGGTGGGGGCTGCTGTCCTCTTGTGGAGGCAGAAGGATTTTGCTACTTAACTCAACAGTAACTTTACATAAATATCTGCACAGACTATATTTTGGAATATGCAGAGCTACTTAAAAGCAGAACACATTGCTGGCTGCCGCACAATTATAAAGGTTAAAAATAAAAAAATCACTTCTTCCTTTTTACATTCAAACTAGTGTTAGCACTGTAGCACAGCTAGCTGCAATGGAATAAAAAATGTTGTGAAATCATTTCTGATCTGTTTATTGCATTTTGACATGTGGCAACCGTTTGCACTATTTATGTTATCGTGTTGTTAAGAACATTACTTTATCACTGACAAATTGTTTGACATGATTGTCTAACAAAATGCAATAATCTGCCAGTGGTCATGGTGCAAGTGAGTCTGTTCAAGATAAAAGCAACACCTGATGGTGGCATAAAAACCAGTTACTTTGAACTGGTTGTTGATTAGTACTAAATATTTATATAGCTGAACAAGAAAAGCAGTCACTCCTGGTGCCAGAAACCACACGTCTCAATCCAGAGTCCAAGGACTTGTTGCTATTGTCTCTAACAGACACTTCCACACACCCCAGACATTCTCAGTCTATTCTCCGTCCGGTCACAGTGGTGTTGGTGGCAAAAAAGGAGACTGAATCAATATTAGGTAGGTGGTGAAAGTGTTAAAAGAATCAATTGTTGAGTGTGTGAAGACTAGACACTAGTCTTCACACCAGAAGCAGCTTCTGAAACTACCTGTAGGCACGGATTTATTCAAATCTTATTAGATTCACTTTCACCCTCAACACACTTGTGTGTGTGCAGCCATTACTCCTTCACAGTCATAGAAAAAATCTCATTGATAACATTTATGACAGACTGAGCCTTTTCTGCCTCCAACTAACCCCATGGAGGTTATTTTTAGCCTAGCAACAGTGGTGACTCACTTCCTGCCTTACTACAAAGCCACTTCCTTGGCTTGTTCCCAGAGGTTTAGCAAGGCGGGGATCTGATTGGCTACTTGTTCACTCCCCGCTGAATAATAAGGGTCTAATTTTGTGAGGAAAAAAATGCCTTTCACCCACCTGAACAACTGGCTAAGCTCCCTATCAACAACAATCACCCGCTACATTGTGCTAAAGACTCGACAGTTCATATTAGCAAGTGTGTTTGTGCTTCCTGGCACATTGTAGGCCTTAATACTGCTAAAGCATAAGGAAATGCACACCAGTATGAGTTAATGAGGGGAATCAGGAGGACGGGCAGAGGGTCGAATGAGTGAGTCCTTATTTTAATGTACTGCTTCCAACATGGCTAAGAAAAGATCTCTAAACAGATGTATGGTATGTCTTGCATTCCCATTAATTTGTCTCTCATAGTGTGTTGGCAAATCCTGTGGCAGCTCTGCCAGCTCACTAGGCCTTAGTCATTACCCAGAGGCAGTTTAGTGTTAAACCACACTCTGTCCATTAACATCTGCGTGCACGTCCAAAATGCATTTCCCACATTCAGGATTCGAGACAAAATGCTGCCAAGGCCTCCAGAAAGCTGCACTGAGATAATCACCACTGTATTAACGCACACGAGGATCCAAGGGTAAAAGCGAGCTGAGCAGCCCTGTGGCTCCTTGAGCTGGGAACGGTACAGAATCTTAAACTAGATATTAGTAAGTAAGTAAGTAAGGAAATTTTATTTATATAGCACTTATCACGGACATAGAATCACAAAATGCTTCACATAGATCAAAACAAAATAAAACAAAGTCATAAAATCAAAATGCTCTCAAAACAGAATCAGATTAACATCAGAAAAAATAAAGTCATAAAATTATAAATTTTCATAAAAAGATGAAAGACTTAAATTTTGAGTTAAAAATGAGAAAATAAAAAGGTTTAGGTAAAAGCAGCTTTAAATAAAAGGGTCTTTAGCTGTTTTTTTTTACGTGTCCAGACTGTCAATGCTGCATATGGATAAAGAAAGATCATTCCAGAGTCGGGGTGCAACAGTCTGGAAGGAGCGATCACCTTAACTTTTGTATCTGGTCTTTGGAACTTCTAGAAGGTTCTGGTGTGTGGACCTGAGGGCTCGGGTTGGAGCAGAAGGTTTTAACAGTTCAGTAATATAGGGAGGAGCTTGACCATGTAGAGCCCTGAAAGTTCTAGTCAGGATTCTAAAATGAACTCTAAAGTTAACGGGTAACCAGTGCAGAGACGTTAGAATAGGAGTGATGTGTGCTCTTCTGCTTGCTCCAGTTAGGATCTTCGCTGCAGAGTTCTGGACCAACTGAAGGTGGTTAAGGGCTTTTTTGTTAAAATGTGAAAAGTGTGTTACTACAATTACCCACAATTCTTAGTTCGGTCTAGTTGGGAACGGTTAGTTAACAAAGATCTTTTGTTTGGAGGGAGAACAGACCTGAAGTGACGTCAGTCACAGTCAAACATGTTTGGATTTCTAGAGTTGAATTTATTTGTTGGTGACACATTGTGAAAAGCATCCAAGAGAGTATTTCCTAAATATTTCAAATTGTTTGCAAAGGTTCTTAATTTCCCTGGGTGTGTTGCAGAGCCTCGCCTTTGTGTTGCTGGATATTTTAAAACCATTCTGAATAACTTGCAAGACAAATTTCCTCTAAAAACAGAGTTAAAGGTATAGTGGAGGATCTAGTTCTTGCGGGTGAATCATCTGAACCATTTGTCCACATAACTGTCAATCATTCTGGTGAAGCTTTCCCGCAAGGCCGTCGTTGAACGTGATCATTTCTGGGTTCGTTTTCACTTCCTGCGCATACGCATTCTGTTTATGTGTAGGGCGATAAGTCTTCATTCCTCGCCATTCTCACCAGGTTCTGTTGAAAATAGCTGAAAGTCGCAAGAGAAAAAGTTTCTTTGACGTCTATGATAAGAAGAGAATGACCTCCAAATAGAGAAATTAAAAGAGTTTTTTTAGGAGACTCTTTAACGTTGGACTGCGCTGAAAGTGAAGTTTGGGCTCCCCACAGACGCCTCTGTAGTCGGCTTTCTTCTCGACAGCTAAGCTAAAGTTCAGCATGCTATTTGGAGAAATTCATTTCAGATTACTGCTAGAGGAAGTGCTGCGAGGCCGGTAGCTACTTGTAACCAGAGCGTGCACGAGGATAACTGGGCGCATTTTTTCAAAACATGGAGAGGGCAGTTATTCCGGAAATTCAGAAACATCCTCCGCCATACCTGTAAGAGCTCTCACAAGTGTCTCAAATCCACCTAGTTTCAAAGAGTTCACAGAACTGAAAGACATTTGTGGGAAGGGTTGTGTTAGAACACATTTAATCTAGACAAACGGAAATAATATGCAGATGACTCTAGGTTTATCAGAGGTGGACATGGGGTCCAACTGGTGAGCCACTTTGTTGCATGTGTTCGGAACAATCATCTCAGCTTAAAAGTGTACAAAACTGTTTAAGTGACTGAGGATTGTAGGAGAAGAGAGGATGCTTTGGAGCAGACAGAACTAACTGTTTCTACAACGAAGAACACTTAAGTGCTTCTGGGCACACGCTTCTATAGACCTGCTGCAACAGACTGCTACACAGCTACAACCAATCATAATGACTCTTTAAAAATAATGAGTTACAACATCCAATTACTGTTAGTGGATTATTAAGGAACTTTTGAGTTTGAACTGAATTTGAAATAGCAAAAAATATAAAAATTTAAAAATATTGTATAAGTATCAATTCAGTATGATTACGAGTGAAAATTGACTGCTTTCTTACACTTTTGTGTCTCATTGAGCCGCAGCCACTCACGGCTCAATAAGACACCGATTTCATCAATAACTCAGCTAATGTGAATCTAATAAACTAGTTTGTTTTTACTGAGAGAATAAAAAATTGTTAATCAAATCTGGGTAGCGGAGGGTGCCTCTAAACCAGCCTGATTTCTTGCTGAACCTTCAAATTCTGAAGAGGTAAAAGTCACGCCACTATTTGCTCACCTGCCAACGCTGTTTGGAATAGGGGCTTTCTTTTTGAAACTGCGCTGCATTATACAAAAGGTTAAAGGGTAAAAGCAAAAGCACACAGAGTGCCTCGGGCCCTCCACATGTCACCTATTGCATAAGACTACCTGTGCACATGAAGGCAGCTGCTGCAGCTCCTGTCTGCCTCAGCAGGAATTCTCACTGAACCTCCTCTCATTCCTCGTCATGTCTTCTCATTACTGACTATCTAGTGCGTTGTGCTGACATCACCTTTCGCCTACTTCCCCAGCCCGCCCTTCTTTTACCCCCTTCCCTTTCAGGCTCTCTGGGTGGTAAATCCCCATACCAACAACATGGTGCCAGTCTCCATAATTAGCTGAGTGATACGGCGGGGGTAAACGAGAACACATAAGGCAAACCGACACGAAGGGATTTAAAAGGTTGTAAAGATGAAAGCAATTTGAGATGAATATTGAAAATACTCCCCTAAAAACTGAATTAATATAAAGTTGGCACCATGTTGGGCTATTTGTGAATCCATACAACCTCTGCATGTGTGTCAGTATACCAAGAACTGGCTGTTATTCCCAGAGGCCACTGGGCACATGGTGTGAGGTGATGGGAGGGAAAGGGGTGGAGCCTGAACCAGTGTAAATCTATTATTAACCTTCTCAAAGTCCCCCAGCCATTTTTCAGCCTGCTTTCCTCTCACCAATCCTCACCACTAACTCACACCCCTACTAATTCTCATCGGCTTTCCTTGGCTGGAGTAGGTGAGGAGCATTCCTGACTGCAGCGTCATGGGTATAGTCCCGACAGCATGTGTGCCAAGTCTGTCTATATCTGACACGCAGACCTCTGCACGCCTGTTCATCAGCTAACTGAATGACACAGTGCAGCCTCATAGTCTCCAAGTGACTTACAAAGGTTGGGAATAAAAAGTACGATAAAGCAAGTTGCTTTCCTGATTCAACGTAGATTGTGTTGTATTCATTTATCAAGCAGGTCACGTGGCAGACTTCTAGTCAGACAGGAGGATGCTGACAAGCACAGGCCGTTCAAAATGTGGATGACAAAGAAGAGTTAAGCAGTGTTAGTTTATGACTCACCTTGTCTCCGCTGGAATAGAAAAAGTAGCGCAGGCGGACTATGTTGCAATGGTCCAACTTCCTCATGATCTGCAGCTCACGGTTCTGAGGGAATAAAACAGATGCAGTTCTTTAAGCATCAGACATGTTCTTTATCTTCGTAAGCTTTCAAATGAACAAGAGCCAGAATCAGCCATGGCTCTTTTCAGGAGGATTTGCATGAAGGGAAAGTCGTCACCTTTACAGGATTCAACAAGTGGAACTACAAAGAATAGTTATATATATATATATATATATATATTTTTTTCCCCACTGCTCTGCTGAAGAACAGTGAATCCGGGGGGTGGGGGGGGGGGGGGTGGGGGGTTTGAAAAGTGGACTGAATACGAAGCGTTAGGCAAAGCTTTGAAAGCTCCATTATAGCTCACATTTTGCACAGTTTCTATTTTCCTTCCCTCCCTCCTGCCTTTAAACACAGGTTTTTGTGGCGACTTGATCTAAAGTGCTTGAGTAACCTTTAGAAAGTAGGAACTCCAGTGTGGAAAAACAAATGGAGAACAGTCAAGGTGCCGAGAAAATAAGATAACAGCACGTTGAGTACTGGATCAAACTCAGAATCCAACTGCTTGAATAATAAAAATACATCTTTTGATCGGGATGTCCCGATACAACATTTTCACTCCCGATGCGATACCGATATTTCAGCCTTCGGTATCGACCGATACCAATATCAGTCCGATACAATATCAGCACAATTCATGTATACTTTTACCTATTTCATTTAGGGCTGAAACGATTCCTCAAGTACCTCGAATAATTTGAGTAACAAAAAGCCTCAAGTCAAATTCTCTGCCTCGAGGCTTTGTTTAATTCATGTTTAATTAATTCATGGCTTTGCAATTGCCCAGGGTCATGTTTCACCCGGACTGAAATAAGTGACACACATACACACTGCATTGAATGCACACGCGAGTAGCGAATGTAACCCCGGTGGAGTGCGAAAAAAGGAAAAGAAAATGTCAACGGTGTGGGACTAGGGCTGCAACAAACGATTATTTGGATAATCGATGAATCGGATGGGGTCTCGACACGATTAATCGATTAATTGGATTACGTGGGGAAATTTTTAAAAACTGCTAGGGAAATGTTATTTCTCTCCTTCCTTCACTTTATTTAACACAACATTATTAGAAAACAGTTCAATAGCAGAAAAACAACATGCCATCACCTAAATTGTCTTATAAGGTGTATAGACAGAGACCCTAAGCTACACCTATCTGTGACCTAAAATGCTTGGTCCAATTAAACAGCTTAAGGGCAATTCTCATCTGTTTTGTTTGATCTCATCTGTAGACATTTATTATAACTGGGGATGTCAAACAACTAATTTTTTAATGTAATTAAACATAGGCTGTGAATTAATCAAAATTGATCACTATTTCCAAAAATGACTGAAAAAATAAGTTGTCACACACTCCATGGAAACTTTCAGAGAATCCACAAATAGTGGCTTTCAAATGGTTTTGTTACTTTCTGCAAGTTTAGAAAAAAAGCAGATGAGACAGCATGTCTGATAATTTAGTTTTTCATCTGATAATATTAGAACATGTCAGTAATGTCTGAGGGGCTTTTATAAACACTGTATAACTAACACTACTGGAGAGGGTATGAATTACACAGAGGCTTCTGGGGAGCCCAGTTGGGGGGGGGGGGGGGGGGGGGCATTTTGCCTTGGCCCCCAAAATGTCTTGAAACGGCCCTGGGTGTGTGACTGAGTGTTTAAGGTGACCTGAATAGTATCAAATTTATAAATATTACATGTGTGTAACTTATTGTTTTATAGGTATAAACGTGTAGTGGAGCTAAATCTACCTACATTTTACTTTTCAACACTTTGTTTTGTTTTGTTGTTTTTATTTAACTATTTTCCTGTCCTGTCTGTCTCTCATCTTCCTGCATCTCCTCTTAATTCGCCAGAAAAACTGCTGCCTGGATTCTTACTTTTTCACCTCATCAGTTACTTCTGAGCAGATCAAAGGGATCTCCTGACCGCAAAGCGGAGAGCGCGTTTTCGATGCTGCGTCAGGTGAAATCACCGCAGCACAGGTGATGAGCTCCGCAGTAGCGCGCTTCAGGCACAAATAAGACAAAAAATAGAGAACATGTGCAGACATGAACGATCGTGTGCTAATTATAGTTTTTTGGTTGCGCCACTTTGAGAATGGACCGTGCGCTGGACGCAGCAGCCTGGAGAGCTGCACAACAACGCGCTGTGCCGCTCTCTGCTCAAAAGAGTCCAAAAATGATAAAATATAGAAAACTTTTTTCCGGCTCCCCGGATGTGTAGGATATACAGTTCCCCCATAATTCGATCCCTGCTCCTGGATGAAAAGCCGGACATTTTCATCAATACAAGAACCCGCAGTCCGGACGCGCCGGACAGAGAGTGAAAAGTGGACATGTCCGGGGAAAACGGAATGTACGGTCACCATAGTCCTCATAAAGCGGGAAATTATAGATACAGTATTTTGCTCGTGCCCTGGGCCCTTTAGAGTTCGTGGGCCCTGGGCAATTGCCCAGTTAATCCGGCCTTGGGCGGAACCGGTTCGCAGCAGAAGGGGGTGAGCTTTTGGAAGAGTTGTGCGACACAACGAATCGATGACGCAATTCGTTGCCAACGCTTTTAGTAATCGATTTTCATCGAATTTATCGATTCGTTGTTGCAGCCCTATGTGGGACCATTATTCACGTCGTAAAGCGGGAAACGTAGTCCAGTGTAAATACTGTAAAATGGATTCAGCCTACCACAACACCACATCCTCGATGCTGCAGCACCTGACCAGGAAACATCCACATGTAAATGTCACTTCTGCAAGCGGACTCGGAGGTCCGCTACATATTCTGCGGACACAGTGCGACTTTTTTGTTTGTAGCACTCAGTTTCAGCTCACATTGTGCGTCTGGTAGCAACACATCGGACCTAAAATGTGCTAAAAATAGCCGTTTTTACAACACGTTGGACTTTTATTGTGTTGTTATTGATGTCCGTTGTCCCTCGGGATTGCTGCAGGACACAGGTACTTATGAGTGGCGGAGGAAAACGAAAGAAAGGAAATAAATGTTTTGTGATCAGTATAATTTGACATAACCACGGCAAACATGCTTTCTTGACAATCCTTATTATTGTGTGAAAAAAAGTGTAGAAATTAAAATGTATGTGTGTTAATAGGGAAATAGCAGGCAAGCCATGTTTGCGCATGCGCCGTGAGCGGTTCTTGTGCCGTTTGGGCCGCAGCCGCTTGCAGCGGTACTTCCAACAGTTATCCTCCTAGTATTTGTCTGGCTTGCCGGGCTAGCAGATTCTTGCGCGAGGGGAAAATCGGCTCAGGTTGTGTACTTATTTTTTGCACAGGCATTTGTTTACTGTGAAGTAAAGTTGAAGTGCTGAAGTTTTGAAAACTAATTTTGAATAAAACTTGAACAATAACTGGCAATTGCTTGCTCATTTTAAGAGGTCTTTCATATTTTATAACATGCTATTTGATATAATGGTTTACAAACACAAAAGAGTAATTTATTAGAGTACTCGATTATAAAAATATTCGATAGCTGCAGCCCTAATTTCATTATGTGGAATGTATGAAAGGCTTGATCAAGTGATATTACTCGGACAACAAAAGCCAGCAACAGTATGAAAAAATATATGTTTTTTATAAACCGTTGGTTGCATAAATGTGAACCCTAAACATAATGTATAACAAAATAATAAATAAAAAAATGAAGAATAAATATTGAAAATAATATTTCATTACATAAATTTACAAAGATTTCTTTTTAAAGTGCAAAATACTAATTCAAGGTCACCTCGGTTATTTTTACTGTCAGCCAAAGGTAAGAACAGCTGAGGGCAGGGACATTAAAAAAACAATATTGTTCACTGACCAACTGCTACAAGGTGAGTTTCAATTTCACACACTGCCAAAATCCTCATGCAGTATTTTGTGATGCTGCTTCAAATGCATGATAAGGTTTGACATATTAAACTTACCCGGTTCTGTTCCACCACGGGAAACTTGTGCATGACAAGTGTTGCACTGAGCCACACTGCTTTTTTTGGACTTTATCTAAAAATCCTGCCGAACGTCCAACATTGCTCTTGTTCCTTGCTACTTTGCTTGCACACACTGTTCTGATAAGGTGGACTTCGCATGCTGGATCTGGGCGCTGCTGGATAAAATTGCTGAAATGGAATTTAAAGCGGAGCCAACTCCTCATATCAGACTTTTTATGCCGTCCGATATAATCCAATACAGTTTTTTGGGCTGATATCGGACCATATTCTGATATCAATATTGGAACAAAACATCCCCATCTTTTGATGTAAAAGTTTTGTTAACCAACTTCTTGCAGGAACGTGCTTTATTATATTTTTTATTTGGTGTTTTAATAATGATTTTGTGGGAGTTTTAATTAAAACTGAGTAAGTGCTACAAGCAAATTACAAGCTTTTAAATGCATGCCTTAAACCAAACTAATAAAAACAGAAATGAGGACTGGATGTGTGACTAATGTAATGTAGGTAAGGAGCATGCTGCCTGCAAGGGTGAAATATGCTGCCATGTTTCTCTCTGAGAAGACTTTAACATGTGCTGTTCCCTTTTTCCCCTCCATCCATTAGACAAGGCTTCATTGTGTCAGCATCAACAGCACAGCATCTTATAGCTCAGTAGCCTGGTATAGATAACACACTCATTCACTTACAGGCTGATATAAGATGTTTCCACAGCCCCCTCCACCCGGTCTGCCTATTCACACTCTGACACAACACACACACACACACACACACACACACGCACGCGCACACGCGCGCACACACACACACACACACACACACACACACACACACACACACACACACACACACACACACACCAAAGGGTGACAGGCTGCACACAGGTCACAGAGCAGAAGTCTGACCATCAGGCACTGCAGGCAACGCCCTCCAGTGCAACTTCTTGCTCTGGAGGGCGTGTCTTTGTGTGTGTGAGATGTGCGAGGGAAATGGTAGCATATGGAGGAGCAGCAGACAGGCTGTTGAGAAAAAC